AATGAAGTAGTTACTAAAAGTATATTGGCAATGCTAGTCACAGAGAGCAGTAATGGTATCATGCACATGCACATGACAAAGGAAAAACATTTGGGAAAAACAGTGCATGGCATGTGATGTGTCCGGGTAATGGTGTTTATGGTCTTTTTATGATGTTGCAATCTGTCTGCAGAATGTGAAAGAAGAGTGAAGAGCTTAACTAAGCACTTTCTGGATCTATAATCAGTTACATTCCTCCAACTACCGTATGTATTAATAAGTAACAGAAACCAACATTTTTTATGGAAAGGATTCTGCTGTAGTAAAGCTAAAAATGTTATAGTATTTGCAGTTTGTAATAGGTCTTACACAGCAATGTCCATTATGTGTCACAACCTTTAGTTGTCAGTTATGTCAGGTGTATTTTTGTACTGTTCACTGACCATAAAGATTTGTTAACAATGTTTCTTTATCTTTGTCTTGATCTAGAACAAAGGATGACACAGACTAATTTCAACAGTGTGGCACTTAGAGCTGGTATGGCTTCAATATTTCGTCAAAGGACATTTCAGCAAGCCAAACTGCATATTGTAGGAGAAAATATTGCACAGAGACTTTGCACTAAGGTTGTAAAACAATGAGCTGCATATAGATCAAGAGAACAAGGCAACCAGCTCTTATTGAGACCTGGATTGTCCTTACCATATGACACGTAAATGGATTCATTTAAAGGCACCCTTCAAGGAACTGAATCTGAAAGACAAGGTCCCACTTCCTCATTTAAAAATCTTGCTATTCATGTAATGTGCTCAATCCTTCAGGCCACAAGGAAGACAAACAGATGGAGACGAACAGTTCTGTGTATAAAGCTAGACTTAGTGGCAGCTGCCTCAAAAGGCATCACAGAAACATAGAACCAGATCTGATAAATCACTTAAAAATTCAGTGTGCATTACAAGAAAAAGTTGCAGCAACTAGTACAACAGAACTCAATATAGCCTCAGTTAAATACAGTTATCAGCAGGGGCAACGCTGATAAAATGACAAACACAAGTTCTTCTTATTTTGATCTTTAGTGAGAACCACTATTCTACTGACACACACTTGGTAAAGTGATGCATTTTATACAGTAACAGAGTCATTTTTGTGAACTGTTAAAAATGTATTGCATTTCTCAGATATTATTATTAAAGTGGATTAATGATAATTACATAAAATTTCAAAAAAGGACACACAAGTCAGCAGCTCATTATTTCGGACTTACAATAATAACCCAGACAGCACATAAAGTTGATTTTAAGAATAAAACATCTAATGCATTCTCTTGAAATAATTGCTTTTTGTTTGCAGTGCGTTTACTTCTAACAGTATTTTTACAGTGTAGTATTTTAGACAAAATATTACATAGATAGGTGAGTGTTACGCAACCATAGCAGTCGCTTTGTTGCTTAAAAAGAACAAAATTGTGACATTTTGTCATTTATTTATTTGTTTTACTTCACTAAAAATAGCTGCGTTGGAAATGGTGATTGGCTTGCTGCAGCTCACTCTGTGTATTAATACTCCTGGAAAATGCTACTGTATATGTCATCAGCTTTGCACAGGCAGCTGTGATTAAGACTGGGGCCAGGCAGAGATTGGCCACAGTCTGGTTTTTACAGTTCCCCCAACAGAGACCCCATCGATTATGGTTTTCATCAGTTAAGAAGGAAACCACAGAGACATTTTGGTCAAAAACCTTTGAAATTATGACAGACGCATGAAGACAATCATCTGGTTTACAGTTAGTATAACATCACAATGTACATGAGAAGATAAATGGTATAGAAACTGAAAATCTGTTTACATTATTTGTGTATATTTCCAGAGACAACACAAGTAATATACTAAAGAATTATTACAGAGTGTTAACATTCATACACCACACCCACAATGTTCCATCTAATTAATCATTAAGCCTGTTCTTGCATATATCTTGATTGACACATACCTTTATATTTATGTTTAAACTCGTCAATTCTATTACTATTTTTTATGTCTACACTTAAATTATTCCATAGTTTTACCCCACTTATGGAAATACAGAATCTTTTTTTGGTTGTACGTATAGCATGAATTTTATAATTTAACTGACCCCTTAAATTGTATCCCCCTTCCCTTTCATTAAATAGTTTTTGAATTCCACCAGGTAATAAATTGTTCCTGGCTTTATACATAAACACAGCAGTCTTATATCCCACTAAATCAAAACATTTTAACAATTTAGACTGTATGAAAGCTACATTGGTGTGATCCCTATACCCCATCTTATGCACAATTCTTATCGCTCTTTTTTGTAATATATACAATGGTTGAAGTGAGCTTGCTGCAGCTCACTCTGTGTATTAATACTCCTGGAAAATGCTATAATAAGTGAACAATTATTATATGCTGAAGTTTTATTATAAATCACCCTCTCAGATTAAGCTTAGATCTAAAAATCACTAGGAGTAAACATTTAGCTAACCAAGTGAAGCATCATTGGGACTGACATCTCTTTTCAAAAGTGACCTGGCCAAGAGGACATCACAAGATACAAGATACATACTGAGTTCAGTTAAGAATAAACATAACTTCAGCCTTCTGACCTTACAGAAATATTTTCAGCGCGTTGCCTTATCACAATGCTGCAGTCTTCCTCTTAAACAGGCACTGCTAACAATATACACTCAGATTTGTGCTACACGGTTACTGTTCTATTCTGGACTGCACTAAATTTTATCTCAACATCTGGGAAATACACAATATCTTCAGTTGTGGCAGTTAACATTGTATGTTCAGAAACTTGTAGCCAACATAGAGTATGTAACTTTCATTGTGCACTAATACCTTATGAACATTCAGTAGACCAAGTAATTAACCATTGTATAGTCAGTGTTGGGAAGTAGTTAACTACATGTATTTAAACTAGTAGTTAAACTACATTTTGCAGTAGCTTGCTGGTAGTTCACCCTAACACCTAACCCTACATTTATATTTTGCATAGTGATTCAAGTAGTTAAATTATTTTTTTGCCTTTTTTGTGTAGTTAACTACTGAAACTACAAACAGTTTTGGGCCTTAAAAGGATAGGAATGATTTTTTATTTTTACTTTACCATGCTGCATGTGAGTGTCAGAGTTGGTACGGCCAAAGAGAACCATCTGTTGGAGAAGAACTTTGAGAGGTGGCTTATGTGTCATATAAACAAGAGATTCTGTTCTGACAAGTAAAAAGATAAACCCATTATTTAGACCAGTGTTCAAGCTGTTCATACTGTGTAAAAGATGTACAAGATGAAGAGTGTTTAACCTGTTAAGGTTGTACAAGTCAAAACTCACCTGTATGACAATGGACTTTACAGAACATTTTTACAACAAAAATATAACAATCCTTGCAATTTTGTCATTGTGAAAAGTCCAGATGGAATTGTTTTACTCAGAACAGCTTTAGGTCTCAAGGTAAACACAAACCAGGGGTGTCAGGTTCTGTCACGTCATGAGGTCCCTAACATACTCTGGGAGGCGCGTCAATGCAGTGAGGGACTATTAAAATGGGTGAATATTTTTATTACCCAATCTTTATCGGAAACCCTATCTATTCTACACATGTGTAAAATGCAGTTACTTCCTTGGTAGGTTAGGGCAAGATTATCGGGTGAGGCGATACAACACTTCTGTAAATTATTTCTTTGTGCGAGTGTAAAACAAATTGGGTTGGCAGTACAGGTTAGGTACTGACAGCTATTATGGCATTCTTTTGACACACATCAACACTCGGCAAATAGGACAATAGTGCATCTTGAGTTTGCCAGTGGTGCACGGGCTTGCATTGAAAATAATGGGCGCGGGTGTTTAATAGACTCATGCGGGTGGCATTTTTGGTGGCATGTGACTTTTTTGTATTATATTTCATTATAATTTTGCTTCACATGTGCATTGTCAATTTCAACTTTTTTAAAACAAGATAGTTTCAACTGCTTTTTCTAAATAGCTTTATGTTGGCCAAATTATATTTCTCCCTATCAGCTTTGCTGTATTTCAACTTCTTCCGGTGTGAAGTAGTTGGTAACATGCAAAACTTTCAAAGTCGCTTCCCCAACACTGAGTATAGTGCATGACAATGCATTGCTAAACCAAACAGAGAGGCGCTTTGCAGCAGGGACACTCAGCTCTCCCCAGGAATTGTTATAACAGTATATCCTCTTTGTGATAATCATAATCTCCATTTACTTTTGTGTGGTTGCAACACAGATACTGTACTTTCATCTTATCTTCCAGTTGTGTGTGTTGTGTATGTATGTTGGGGGTTAGGGTATGTTTGTGTGTCAACATTTATCCTTTAACAAACTTATGTTTACATCACCAAACAACATGTCTTAGTCATTTTGCTACAGAGTGCACTTCCAGTCATTGAGTTTCAGGTCTGCACTCAGAACCCGGATGCATGGCTGTTTACAGTGTAACACTGAGAGCTAAAAATGGTTATCTATTGTCACAGCAAACACCATCTTTGTGCATGTGAAAATTCTAGCACATATTTCATGTTTTTAAACATAATCTAGCATTTAATTGTGTGCCACCACCAATCTAACATTTTTATAAGCACTAAATAACAATTTCATAAATGGCTTATAACACTGTAATTTAGTTTTAATGTACAGTATTTGTCAGCAAATATAACTTATCGCTATATCTGCATACACCTACATTAATATTTATTAAATGTTTATATACTGATAATAACTACATACAGCTAAAAGAAAGTGTTACCTTGTCCCATTATAAGACACCAGGTTATTCTACTGTCATAGTTTAAATGAAATGATTTTTAAAGCACATGGAATGGATAACATCAACCCGACAACATTAAATATAATATTCAACAGGGGGGTGACGGTGAAGAAAACCCTTGATGATGATTGGCTGCTGAGAGAGGGGACAGTAGATAGACCCTGATAAAAGTTTCATGGTCTCCCCTGACAAATCATCAATGACCAGGAACCTTCAGCAGACACACTCTATTGCTCCCACCCACAGAAATCTTACTGAAGTCAAAAGTTCCTTTTTCATCTCACAGTCAAACAGCGGGTCTTGTTTATTTCATTTTATTTGACACAGCTGAAGGCCTCCAAGAGTAGTTAAGGTCACAAGTGTATGCTATAGGATAAGAGAGAGAGACATTTTTTGGTTTTCGTTGAGTGAGAGGAAATTTTGAAACATTGTGCAATGGTGCCGCAAAAGTTTTGAAAGGCTGTAAGAGTGTTTTGCCAGCAAAGCGCCTGAGAGTCGGTCCGTTGGAGAAGAGGTCTCCATGTTGCATCCATTCAGAATGGAGAGCTATCTCATCCCGCCTGTAAGTGTGGTTTGATTTATTACTATTTATACTCTCAGAAGACTTTCTAACATGAGGTTTAGGAAAGTTGCTTGAGTTGCTTGTTTTTAATGCAGTGATTATAAGAAACATTTAGTCATCATGAGACTGGACAACATATATTATTTAAAATTAACTTAAGTAAATCTACTTCAGTTTGAACACAGGATACAAAGTCTTTAACACTATGAAATGAAAATGAAACTCAAAACTTCTTGAGTTTCAGGATAGTAGTGTCAAAAAAAAGTGTCTTCATTATAGCACAAATGCTGCTAATGCCTCACACAATTTACAGCTGTAAATATATTTAAAAACATAATGAAGTTTTCATTAAAGGCAGATGGTGAGTATTTATATTTCCTTTAAAGGATTAAATGAGCAATCATACAGTGTAGGTTTTCTGCACCATATACCAGTGACAGATTTTTCTTTCATGATATTTTGTGGTTGAAATTGTTTTTAATTTGCTCTTGCAGCACTCAGAAGATGTGTATGATCCAGAAATCTACAGACATCAAATTGAATATTATAATCCCTATGTCCTAGATACCGATATCCAGGCAGGTGAGTTTTGCTTGAATGTGGACTTTGTCTTATCTGAACTGTCTTTAAATTTAATCTGCAACTTGTTCTATTCATTTATAATGAATGATATTTAAATTAAAAGACTAAAATATAAATAATGATGATGACTATGGGGGCAAATGTTAAATACGCATGTTAAACTCAGTGATATGTAACTTGTTTTCAATGCAACTGAGAATACTGGCATACAGTAAAGTCATCTGTATTTTTATTCTTCAAATTAAACACCAAAGCCTGATGTGGTGACACTTACTTGTGTGTTGTACTGAACATAAAAAGCCTACTGTGTGCAGCTGGAGCACACCACATCAGGGTGTATGGAACACAGGAAACAGATGCCATTTCTTTCGGCCGCTACAACTACAGACATAGAACAACTTTCGCCCCATGGGGTTTTATTGAGATAAGAAAGATGCTTTACTTTCTCTTATATTCAACTGTTTTGAATATTGCACCAAAACAATCTAAATAGGGGTGGGGGTGGAGTTTTTCCCAGCCTGAAAGTGGTTAACGTATCTAATCTCTAAATATGTCATAGCTGAATATACCTAATATCCTTCAAAAACAGTAAGATAAGACAATAAAATAGCATATATCCTGATTTATAAATGAATGACCATACAGTGTTACTGTGGATGTATAACATTACTTTATTAACTAATGTGATTTCTTATTTTTAAGAGTATACACTTTTGCATTAGTTTAATCTAGCCACAGCCGGAAGAAGAAGAAGAAAACACTTTTGCATTAGTTTGCATGTGAAATCTGTTCTTTAGATCACCACCATTTCCACTGTTACATTTGAAATATGTACAACTTAAATTAAATCTGGCATGTTTCATTTTTTTATTTAATGCTTAAATATATTCAGAAAAATTGCTAACACAAAGAGAAGCTGAAATCCAAAACCGGCAGCTGCGGTGACACTGTTAGCGTGGCCACAAACAGGCAAAGAGCCTCATGCTGAATTCGCTATTATTCTTCACATTTTAGTTCAGTTTATGCAAACTTAAGCACCATGGGTAAGAAGTCAGCAGCAGAAGCAATTGTTTTTGACTTAGTCATTTATGACAAAGATTAATTTTTGTAGATGGACAGTCTGGCTGAGTCTCCTTTAACCACTGAATCATGTATTTCTGCTCTGCTAAATTAAGTTAAGGACATTTTCTTGAGTTTTGTATGAAGCTGTGTGTTTCAATTAGTGTGACTGCTGTTAATAACTGTCTTTATTCGTAATATTACAAGTTACTAATGTTGAGCCGGCAAGATACAACAACAGGTGGTCCTTACAGTGAGCTGTTTTTCACCTTCTTTATTTAGATCACTGGGACTATCATCCTCACCCCCATGTGCACCCTGTAGAGTTTGAAAACCTCCAAGAGACCAACTTCACAGAGCTGCAAAGTGTGCAGGCACTCCACCCATCCAGCCTCATACGACACGACAACACACGATACGATGCAGAAAACCTACTCGATCCAAATCTTGGGGCACATCCACACGTGTTACAGCAACCAGTAAGTCCTTCTGTTACCCAATAAAAAAACAACTTGTACATAAAAAAAAGGAGCCAGACAGAACACCAACCTACACATGGGTGCATGTACCTGCACAAACTAGTGTATATTCCAATATTGAAACTAATCTAGTTAAAATGCAGTAAACTAAAAACAAAAATGGTGGTAGTTTTGTCTTCTTTTTACTGAAGCAGTGTAACCGCACAGTTACAGTGCGTGTAATAGCTCATTGTTAAAATGATGACAGTGATGCTGGCTGATGTAAGCTTTCCTGAACATAGAATAGTACTAATTTGACTAATTAAAGTACTAATTAGACAGCAGGCTCTCACTCTTTTTAGTGCCAGGGAAGTAAAAATATAATTACAAGGAACAGACAACAGCTGGTTGATGGATAATGTCACGCAGAGTCTTAATGACCTACATCCACACACAATCCTCAAATTTCCTTCTACAATACCTGTAACTCACTGCAGATGTTTTCACACTCAGTGTAATACACAGTTGGATTTCAGATCAGAGAGGACATTTAAGGAGTCAGAGGGCTTATAGGGTCCTGTGACAAAAATCAGGAAGTGAATCTCTAAGTAAGAAAAACTTTAAATTTAGTCCCCCACGCCCTGATTTTTAAATTTCAGTTAGAAAAAGAACATTTTCTTTCTATATTTGATCTGAAAGCTCAGCTAGGTTTGCTCTGCATGCTTCACTCCTCCAGTTTTGAACCAATGAACTAGAACAAAGATATCATGTTTGTGCTGTATGTGTAACCAAGTTACACTTTCAGATCTTTTTACCTCCACATAAGATTTGTTGGGTCATGCTGTGAAGCCAAGCAAGTGATAAAAATTATTCATATATTACAGTTCATACACTTAAGGTGATTTCAAAGTCCTGAGAGTCATGGATTTCAGTTTTTTAACTCAGTTTGTGATGTTGTGATGTTTGTATCAGTAAAATGCTGGAGCACATGGATACAGTTTATGGGAATCAAACATAAAGTATATTTCTTATTGTTAAAATATATAACTCTGAGTCTTTTGCAACACAGGAGATCCTTTGTTTTCATACCTACCTGTAATTAAACATGTTATTGTTTCCAGCTGAATGTGATGTATTATCACATTCAGCTGATTTTTTTCACATTGAAATAATATTTTAGCATGGTCCACAGGTGAACCTCGAGCTGGTTAGTACTGTTATTGTAAATAATTCACCCATTTGTAAAATATGAAATGCATTTGAAGTTCAGTGGCATAGTGACAAAACGATGACTAGTTCTCATCTTCTTTGTCATTCTGTTAAAGAATAGGGCCCAAATGAATACACTAACACACCTACAGAAATGCTTAGCTAGTAAAACACAGGATAGGTTTCATTTCATTTCCACATGTTTTTTTTTTTTCCTCTGGACTTTGTATTCCTTACAAAGAAACCACGGAGCGTATGTGCTTCTTAGTCACATGATGTTTTTCACTTGTGATCAAATGAAATTTCCCTTTTGAAAAAAGGGGCCACCACTTTTACCGTGCAAAGAAAATGTGTTTGAAATGTGTTAATGTACAGCAGCAAGTGATATTAGAGTACAATGTGAAAACCACCATTCACACATGGAATTCACTTGTAGGTTTCTGCCAGTTCTTCAGTTTTTAATTTTATAATTTTATAAAGGATGCTGAAAATGTTGACAAGTGTTGCCCAGGGGTGCAGCTAGAGCAGCATCTGGCTTTGAATAGAAACATGTTGTCATTTTCTTTCCACACATAAAAGTATGTGTTTGATGTTTGGTACAGTACATCGGTAGCATTGTGTTCTTTCTGAAAGGTCTAAGTGCAGTTTAAAGGTGCATTAGCTAAGATTTTATATATTGTTTGATAATTCAAGTAAAAAATGGGACAAAATGTAATGTCTCTCTGCTACAGTCCATAGATTGGCCCCACCTGCCACCTAGTGAAGGTTGTAAGGGGCTTCTAGCTGCTAGTAGTCATTTCAGTCAGCCAGCTATGGAGGACCTCCTGTTTGCTAAAAGTGCCTGTCAAACCAAAGAGGTCGCGTTCCTTTGCACATAAAGAGTGGGACAAGAAAGAACAAAAACCAGGGTTAACATCAGTTTGGCATTTTGAGATGGTGAGTGTTAAAAGCAGCCAAAGGACTCAGATTAGATTGAGATGTGACATTCTTCCTTCTGGATGTGTTCACATCTAAAGCTAATGTGTTTGTTTTGGTAACATTAGTGACCTAGCACCATATCCAGCTCTCATAATAAATACATCCACGGTTCTAGTGGATTGCTAGATTGTCTTGTTAGGCAGCTCATAGCTTCACACTGGAGGCTGCATTTTGTACAGCTTGTCGCAACCAGACATCTGTACTTTACATCGCCACTAGGAAGCATGACATGATGGGAGGGGTAGGAGCTCTGTAGCAACTGAAAAGAAATAAAGGTAGAGTAGCTTTAAAAAGAATCCTAAAGTTGCCTAAATGCCCTGAAACATCTCAAAATCCTTAAGCTGTCAGACTTACAATAATTGTGTGAAAGTTATTTTGAGAGAATTATAAAAAAAAATGCAAAAAATGATATTTGTTTGGAAATGTAGGGTTCAGAATGAGATATAAATATCACCACTGCTGGAAGAAGTATTCAATGGACTGTCATCACAAAATACACCATTACATGTAAAGGTTCTGCATTCAAAACTTGGGCTAATCTCATAGGAAGCCTAAAACCAACACTGACTTTCATGCACTCACCATAATGTCTGTGAATGCAGAACCTGGTTGAGCTTATCCACCTGTACCTTAGGCCTACTGTACATTAATGCATGAAAACTATTAAAAACACATCAGGGACATTTAAAATGATCAGCAAGATCTAGTAAGTTAAATTATTTCAAATGCTTTTATTTAAGACTGATTAGATTTGACCCTTGTTGTAGGTAGCGTTCTTCCCTCGGTCGCTGTATGCACCACACGTGTCCCAGCGCAGCTCTGATGATGAAGACCACGGAGGACGAAGTCCCCCGCTGGAGGTGTCTGATGAGGAGTGTCTGAGAGAGCGAGTCCCTTATGTCACACCAGGAGAACTGGGTAAGGAACCAGAGTTAAAAGCCAGTTCATATTATGTGTGCAGTGGGTGAGTGCCCCAGTTCTCTACTGAGCAGTTAATATAGACACAGTACATGTGAAAATTCTCAGTCATGCAGGTTATGTATGCTTGGTGGTAGAGTGTGTACATTGGCATCCTGGATTCCACTCACTATGTAAGAACTAGAGCTGCTCTAAAAGCTCCTTTCTGAATTTTGAGTCCAGTGATCAGTGATATCTTCTTCTCACTGGGATGTTGGTGGTTTGGCATTAAGTCATGTCAGCTTCGTGTTCTGCTGACAACTTAAGATGCACTTTTAGGATGAGCTACACATTGCACAACTGTATTTATACTGTTGCTCAAGCATCTTCAATGAAAAGGGGCTCACAAAAAAAACAACAACACAAAAACCCCAGTGTTTCTTTGTCTGCTGTGTACAAGGAGAATGGCAGGCTATCCTCAGTTGTCACCTTTTCAGTGGCTCCCTTGTCAGAGATCTGGGGAGTGATATTTTGGCCCACCCTGTCTGGTTTAATCAGATCTTACTGCATAGATATAGCAGTCAGCACAGGTGTCATGTCCACAGCAGGATTGACTTGTGCTTCACCAGAGTGGCAGGGCCCCTGTGTTAGTGGGATTCGGTTCAGAGTGATGTTTCTTTCCTTCTTGTAGGAGCTTGATGGCTTACTAAACAGCCTGTCCACTTCCTCTTTTGGATAATTTCAGATGTGACAGGCCAGCTGAGCCGGAGTAGTATCTGGTAAACAGTATCTGCAGTACCTCTAGTGGTTTGTGTAGAATACCTTTGTAAATAGTTGCATAATGTTCTTTTTATTTTATTCAAGTATAGGACCTAGGTGAGTGGCCGTGATTGTATGTCAGCTACTTCACCGGTACTTACATCCCACAACAACCAGTACTTTGTATTTTTGTTAATGCAGTGCCAGTCTGTACATTTAAAATAGGTACTGTAGGTACAGCGATAAGTAGCAAACATACAGCTAAATGAGCAACTGCGGCTCTCTGAGCGCAAAGACCATCGGTCCAGCCTGGGACAGGTTCAGGATAAGGTTAGTTGTAAGGTGTCTTAATGAGTCTTCTCCTCAACTGCACACTGTGGGGGTAAGATCATGTGCAGATGAAGAAGCATGGTGAGCCTCTGAGCTCGGACAACCACGGTAACAAAAGTAACAACCAATGACAGCTTTTATAATTCGACAGGAAGCTAGCATCAGATTAGCTTTTTGTTAGCCCGTTTACAAGATGGTAACAATAAATTCTCACAAATAAGAAAATAAATATATTAAATCAAATAATAAATAATTTCTATTAAGTCTGATTTCTTACAAAGGCATTTTAAGTTACTGCATATGTTGAGCAAAAAAAAACTGAATATGAAAAAATGTATAAAATATTTGTTTTTCCTATTATATACAGTATATTGTATACAGTGCCATTAATCTTATTTTTAATAATATATAGAAGGTTTTTAGTGGATGCTCAGCACTTTGAAGTTATGGCCACAGACATGTCATCAATGAGGTTTGTCACAGCACCAACACTAAAATGGTGACTCCTCAGTGTTTACATCTGCCACTGTTTCTTAGAATTTTAATACGTTGTCTAGTGTAATTGCTGACTGTCCTGTAAAGTTACTTTTTATTAAAGATTTTAAACACGAAACCCACAAGCCATGTAGTGTCCTCCAAAAATTTGCCTGATGTCTAAGATCCCTAATTCTACTTAAACTCTGTATAACTGATATGATTGTATAAACTGAATTATGCAACAAGACTGAATCTGAGCAACAAAAAGATTTATAATACATACAACTTTCTGATTTTTCCAAAAGGCAATAAAAAGAAGATCCGTTTGTACCAGTTCCTGTTGGACCTTTTAAGGAATGGTGATATGAAGGACAGTATCTGGTGGGTGGACAGAGACAAAGGGACATTCCAGTTTTCTTCCAAACAAAAAGAAGTGCTCGCACACCGCTGGGGAATCCAGAAGGGCAATCGCAAGAAAATGACCTATCAGAAGATGGCTCGTGCTTTGCGCAACTACGGCAAGACTGGGGAGGTGAAAAAAATAAAGAAGAAGTTGACGTACCAGTTTAGTGATGAGGTTCTGGGGAAGAGTCATCTGGACAGAAAACCATATATGTAGACAAGAATGATGTTGAATGATACACTCCACTTTCCTTGGATAGTCCATAGACATGTAGCTTACGCTGTTTGGTGACTCTAAATTGCCTATAGAAGTGACTGTTTGTTTGGTTTTGCTTCTCTAAGTGTTGTAAAGACTTCAAAGCTGTTTAGGGTGTACCCCGCCTCTTGCCCAGTAACGGCTGGGATTGGCTCCAGGCCCCTCTTGACCCTATTCAGGAATAAGTGGTATAGATAATGGATGGAAGGATGGATGGATTTGTGAATGGGTACTCAGATTCGAAAACAAATATTTGGTAATTTGCTCTCAGATTTACCCTGATATTTGCAAGCATGCACGTTGCACCTTGACTATTGCAGCTATCCTGGTGGCCAGAGGCAGAACTGCAAGTCATGTGATGCTATAGCTCAGAGAAACAATCACCATAATTATATGGCAATCATTTTCTATACCGCTTAGTCCCAAACGGGGTCACGGGGGGGCAGGACTGTTTCATTAGGCTACATGTCTTTAAGATAGTTGCCTAAACTGGCATCTGAGTGTATATTTCAAAAGCCACAAACAACTGCTGGCATCTGCAGGAGTAAGACACACATACTTGAGAATTATATGTATAATGCTTGAGCTTGAAAACAGGAAGCATAAGAAACATTTTTAGTCTGCAGTATGTGCTGAGTGAGCAAGTTGCAATGACATCACCATTTTCAGTACTTCACCAAGTGTTTAATAAGTCCGTGTTGCCAGTCTGTTGATACTTACAACTTTAAAACAGAGAAAGCACAACTAACTAATATAAATATGTATAACGGTATTGCTAATTAAATAAGACTGCAGTTGTAGAGCTGGCTGTTGGTTTTCACATTGGATATGCATTCACATCTCAGTCCACAGTTCAAAATCTGGATTGTTTACATATTTTGTTTTCTGTTTTTTTAAGGCTTTTTTAAATTTGATATCTTAAAAATATCTGCCAATGTTTGGAGAATTATGCATGCTGGTTATAGCAAGATTAGAAGATTAATACCACTTTCATGTATGATGTACTGTATGTACAATAAATAGCAGGGGTTATCTTAGTTAAGCATAAAGACTGGAATCAGGAACCAGGTAGCCTAGCTGCAGTGCATAAATAGAGCGAACAGCAAAGGTAACAACAGCCTAAATTTAAAAACAATAATTTGTGGAGCTATTTGTAGGACTATTTCTTGCTCATGAGTTATGACTCCCTGGAGTTGTGATTGTGAGGTTGTCAGTTCACCAGCAGAGACTAGTTTTAGCTTTATATTAAGTGTGGACACATGAAAATGGTATCAATCTTCTCACCTAACTCTTAGCATTAACGATATTAACCATACAGTATGTGAAATCTTTACATGCAATCAGTAGTGTGCTGCATGGTCTGCAGCTTTGACCCTAGGTCACTGTGATGCCTATGGCTTTACAAAGGTTGATATGATCGCATAAATATACCTAATCATTTTTTTAAAATGTTTATGTAAATGTTGTCAAGATTTCATTCAAAATTTTGTTTTATTGTGTTTTGTATTCCTCTTCTATTTGTAGGTATTTATTTACAATGCCATTTAATATTTAAAAAAGTAAAAAGACACAAAGGGCTCTGTTTTCCTGCCAGCGCAAAACTAGTATAGCACAAGTCTTTTATTATTATTATTATTATTGTTGTTGTTGTTACACATTGGTATGTTTGGTATTTTTCTGCCATGAAGGAATTGGCTTATGCTGAGGTGGTAGGATAAGCACAGTTGAAACTTTTTTTATACAGAAGAGGCACTGCAGTGTGATTTTGGTGCTTAGTTTGATCCAAAATCGCAATTGTGATAACACCTACTCAGACCTTTCTCTCTTTAAAAAGCAAGTGTATTCCTAACAATAGTCTAGGCTTTGTAGCACAAGAACAGGTACCCAAATGTATTTTACTCGCCATACCAACTTAAAATAAACCCTTAAATTCACAACGGATCTGCCAGGACTCACAGTGAATAATTTCTTGTGATATTTCTGAATCATCTAATAAATTAGAAGTATTATTTTCAGATCAGCGAACTAGTCCGCAGTATGTGGCTATATATGAATGTGGTCAAACAGAGTTGGCACATGTAATGATGCACCATCTGTCCTTATACTGTGCAGCTATGAATAAATTATGCTCTATAATTGCTGCTGGGTACAAGACCAGAGTCTTTCTGTCTTCCATGCGCAAAAGCTGGTCAGTCATATTAAATCAAATCAAATCAAATCAAATTTTATTTGTTTAGCCCCAAATCACAACAAACGTCATCTCAGGACACTTTACAAAGTAGGGTCTAGACCTTACTGTTATCAATATTATTACATAGGGAAAACCCAACAAATCCCCCTTGAGCAAGCACTTGGCGACAGTGGGGAGGAAAAACTCCCTTTAACGGAAGAAACCTCCGACAGACCCCGGCTCTTGGTGGGCGGCTTTCTGCCTCGACCGATATTAGCAGCCTACTGAGTCAATATTTATGTGCAATACCTCTAGAATAAATATTTTTGTCATCACAGTTTAGAACTGGAGAACATAATTGTAGGAGAGGACCACAAATCTGGTCACAGCGACTCTGCACCTTATGGGCAAGAACTGTACATCAGTTTCATCTCTGATGACAACAATCAAAGTCAGGTTTCCACTGTGTTTTAAAGGGGATGAGAGGGGCCAATTTGATTGGACTTTACCTCTCAGGGCTCTATTGTCTTGAAACAAATGAGACAGACTAACCTTCAGTAGTAACTATGATATCACGATATGTATTGTCACAGCTATTTACATGATACAGGTTGACTTGCACAAATGCAAATTTCTGTATGTCATAATTAATCATTGATTGCAAAAATAAACTCTGAAGTTGCATAGTGTTTGCTTTGTGGATCAGGTTTCTCAGCTTTCATTACATCCACAAAGATGCTGAACCATAAGAAATCATGAGGGTGGGGGGTAGCTTGCCACCCATTTTTTAAATATCATGAACTGTGTATCATGACACATTGCAGGCTCCAGCTCTATACTCATCGTCAGTGTAAGCAATTTGTCTATAATGACACATCTGGAGTTTTTGTTTCTTGGCTGCACATATGTACTGCAGTTGTGTAACTAGTTGTTTTCTCTGCAATGAGTACTGTAGTTTTTTTTAAGAATCGCTTGATCATGTAATAGCAATAACAACATTTCACTGTGTTTTTGTGTCATTTTTCAGAGCAATGCAGATTTTAGAGACACACAGGGATGCTTATAGCGTCACTACCCCACCACACCTGCCTTTTAACAGAAAACTATGAAGTAACTTACTGTAAAATAACAGTAAATGCTCATAATAAATAGCACAATACAAAGGAGTAATAACTTGCTAAAGTGTAATGTGTAGTGTGTCCCAAGAGCCAACAGCTCCCCTCAATGGTCATGTTGTAGTTGATTCCCGTAAGTTAAGAAGATTTTTAAAAATTACCCTTATAAAAAAGAACATAACTGCAGACAGTCTCATTAGGCACAATAAATACTATTATCTATCTATCTATCTAAAATGCGACCGCATCATTTTTAAACTTTTTTTCCCGATTACGTTTAGGCACTTGGTTAAGGTTAGGAAAACGTCGTGGCTGGTTTTGTATAGGAAAAGTTAACAGTGACTTGAGACACAACATATTGACTTACATTTAACAAAAAACCCCTTGCTCTTTCCATAACCAAAGTGCTTTTGATGCCTAAACCTAACCACACAGAGAGTTTGGATGCCTCTTTATCAAGCAGAGCAACACTCTCATTTCTGCTAACAAATAAAAACAAAGCTATAGATCCCACTGTTTCAGCTATTGTAGTATTCATCCTTAGATTTAAATGGTGACAGTGTGCAGGGCAGATGTGGCGAGAGCAAAGGGACTTTTTTTGGATTCCAGGTTCTAAATTTAAACATGCCCTCCCCTCCCCTCCCCTCCCTCTCAAGCCCTTTCATTCAGCAGAGGTGTTGGAGAAAAGGATGCTGAAAATATAGCCTAAAGTCTAACGTGACTGAGGGTGGGGTGGGGGCCAAGTTGCTGTTGGAATGGGGTGAGCTGTGATGAGAGGTTTGAGGGAGTGGTTGTTGCTTTTTGAGCCTAGAAAAAAAATACCAGAAGTGGAATGGTTCAAGTAGGGGAGGCTGTTTGGACACAGTGGCAGTATTAAAAGGCGGAGAATTGAGACAGACAGTAGACCGTTTAGGAGCCGTGTCCTGCTGGAGATCATTCAGGATGCCAGAGCCAGTTAAGAAAACAGGTAAGTGTGCTCATTTAGATCTTTTTGACAATATAGTCACTTCATTAATACATGAAAATGGAACAACTTGCAGTACACTGTATAAAAACCCAAACTTTCTGATACAATATTATCCTGTTTTCTCACCAAAGCAAAGTTATCCATCAAAATGTGTACTGTAAATACGACCTTGTCTTTTTAACCAGACTCACTATTGTGTTAATGTGTTTCACAGTTATTTTCTTGTATATTAAACCACTGTAATGTCCAATTGTACTGTATTTAGCATGTATTTTATGCTACAATGGTATTAACCATTACTTTAATGGTTAGTGGTTAATTATTTCCAGACAATAACATCTGCAAATAGAAAATCATATTTTAAATATATTTGTTCTGAAAACTTCATATAAAATAAACTTCTGTGTAGTATTTGTGCACTGAGAGAAATTTTAAATTGATTGATGGGTAAAAAATCCAGTGTCTGCAGATGGTAGTGAATGCAACTTAAAGTCAAAACAATGCAGTAGATCAGGTAAAGTAACACACAGTATTATTCAAATATATTCTTTTTCTTCATAAGGTGACAATAGTTGCTTGGTAATATGGTGTACCATAACTTAGCCAGTAGCCACAGTCAGAACATACAACAAGGAATTACCCACCCGCAGTTCAAGTGCTCTCTTTGGACTCAGTTACACGTCAAACGGTCCAGGTGGAAATCTAAAGTGAGCTTGACACCGTCACGCTTCCAGCATCACTGCATTCACAGAATGCATCACAGGATTCCAAAGTGACATATGACTTTCCACAGTTTCCCTTTTATCTTTCCGTCCATTCACTGAAAGGATTGTTGTTTGCAGAAACCAGAGGCATCACATTTCAGATGACACAGTCCAAATGGGAGGCTTGTGTGTGCCAAGACTTTTAGTGTCAAGGATTTGTTTAGGGCAATAAAAGTTGAGACTGTAGCATTATTATTAATTGCTATCTACATCCATCACTCAGCAAGATATTTTTCAGTTGTCCCTTTTATTTTGCCACAGCAAATAAACAATAAACTTTATTAACTCAATTAAAAACACAAAATAAACTTTACTGTATACTACTCTAAGACCATGTTTTAGCTAGAAAAAAAGCAACTAAAACATTACAGTAATGACTAAATACATTTATACAAAAATGCAATAAATGAATAGAAACCAATAGTAAAGTTAAATCTGGGGGCACAGGAAGAATGTGCACATCCAAATAAATCAGCATATTATTGACAAGAGGAATGTTTGAAAAACTAAGCAGGTGTTGCAAAGGTCAGATTTACAGTAGATTTTTTCCTTGTTCTCAAAAAAAGGCAAATATAAATAAATAATTCACTTTCTTTGTTTAAAAAAGTCCTTTTCACTGTGTTACACGTCACACAATCCAAGTGGAAACAGTGGAATTAATACTTTATTACAATATCAACATGTATCCAACAGTGAGACACTAATCAACAAACAATCTCAAATATCTAAACACCTGTTTACCTGTTGATTTTATTTACACTATTATATCATTAGTCATTTTTATTTTATGTGGCAACATTAAAACATCATCCTCTCAGTATCCTTAACTTTAACCAATGCTATACCAAAACTAGGGTGATCAAACTTGTGCTCAAACCTACTAAAGAAAGTTAGGAGTTAACAACTGAAACTGAAGTCAGGGTTACTGTTATTTCTCTACTGTCAGTTAACACAAACTGTCAACTGGCATTTATTAAAAAACTATTAAGCACATTATAAAACTGAAGCTAGTCGTTGTCACTTCCACTGAAGGCACGTGATGGTGTGATAGGTAAAGCGGCATGACTGCCTGATGCCAGAACAGTGGGGAGCGCTGAGGACACATTCTTCCTGTGCCCCCAGAGCCACAAAAATAGAGTCAGCTTAATCCCTCAGCTGTGGGTACCTGTTGCAGCTGAAGCCTGTCACCCTCGTTTTAGTCCAGTACATATGGATCCTATATATAAACTCACAGGGTGAGCTTGCAACAAAGGCTTGTCCCTGTGTGTGTGCCTTTGTATTACTTACATTATGGGGACTGAAAGCTGTTAATACACTCACATTGTGGGGACCAGAAGCGGGTGTCAACATGGTTTAAGGTCAGGGTGAGGTTAAGTGTTAGGGTCAGGGTTAGGGTTAGGCAAGAAGTGCTTGTGGTTAAGGTTGGGATACGTCTACAGGAAATGAATGTAAGTCAATGTAATGTCCCCACAAGGGATGAAAACACAGCATGCACGTGTGTGACCTGGAAATAATATGAATTTAAATGATCCCTATATGCGTTTCATCATTCCAAACACATGGTGTTACTACTAGACGCGTCCTCTGTCTAGGCTGTCTGTCACAGTGGCTATTTTTAGTGTTTAGTATTCGAGAATGACATACATTTTTGGATCATTTTAGAAAAAGACCTTCCACTGCAGGAAAAGCAACAGCTGGTGTTTTACACAGTGACTGTAGAAACGACTATTAATACTTTTCCAGACTGACAGCAGGCACCATGTATTGATTATTCATTTCATTTAGGATAACTGCTGGTGTCTGTTACTACTGGTTAATGTGTGCAGATATTTTTGTAATTTTGTGCCAATGGTCAGGTTATAATATGCGTTCCAGATCTGTCTCAGATCATCTTTGATTTGGTTTGTAGCTCCTGGGTACATTTACATCTGTCAGAAACGACGCGTGTAATGCGGCCGAAAAGTGTTAGGTGAACTCAATTAAATGGCCAGACGAGGAAGTGTAAAACAAAACCGTCTCTTTATTTAGAGAACTAATGTTGAACAAAAGAAAACCATACAAGACACGGTGAAAACACAAAACTCACATGTCCTTAACAGTCCGAGGTCAGAGCCAGCAAACACATACATCCAGGGGAATCCAAAAACAAGAGGAATTACAGTGGGAAACCGTGGATGAGTAAGGGATTACAGAATGCATGTAAAAAGAAGAATGCGTTATATAAGGAATTCATAAAGGACAGATCAAAGAAGGCGGAAGAAAAATATAAGTCATATAAGAACAAATTAATTGAGATTTTGAGGAGATGTAAGAAACAATATTATTCTAAAGTATTAGAGGATAATAAAAATAA